TTTCTGTATTTGAGGCTTAAGTACTTGATTTATATTTGTTTCTTAAATCATCTTATTACTGGATTAATCTGGCCTTGTGCCTTGCTTATGATATTTCTTAAATCCTGCATCCAAAATCTAATCCTGCCAGGGCTTTTCCTGTAAGTGCAAAAATGTCCCCAGAATCCTGCATGTGGAGCATGTCCCATCCATCTTGTCTTGTCACTGACCCCACAGAACATTTTCGTTCCCAATCAAACGTTAATGAAGTTCTCCCCTTGCAGCTCTTCCAGATTGACACCAAGGGCTGTATGAAGATTATTCGTGAGAGGAAGCTGAGGGAGTTAGAACTGCTCAAGGCTGATGCAAGAAGGCCTCAGCAGGTACTGGGCAGGGTTTGTTTCTAAGGTTTTCCCACTGAAGTCTTGACTAAAATAAACACTGTTTGATTGCTTGGCCAGTAGTGCTGTCTGTGCATGTGTTACCAGTTTGTTTTGGTTCAGAGGCATAATAATGTTGGCACATGTGGGTTTGATTTTTGATCTTGAGGTATCTCAGAAGTATAATTTAATGTTTTGGTTTTTTTTTTACAGGCTTCCCAAAACATGGAGACTCCTCCAGGTACCTACCAGAACATTTATTTTTGTTCCATACAAGAACTTTCACTTCATTAATCACCGTTACATTAACGACCAGTTTAACTGAAAGGAGAACTTTTGTAACAAAACTGCCCTGTCATGCTCATTTTTGCTAACTCTTGGATCTCTGTTATTGGCTAAACATGTTCCTCTTTGGTAAGGACTGGAAAAAACACTGGAGGGCTGGGGGACCAGTGGCACTGGACTGGTACAATTCCTTGCTCAGTGATGCCAGCTTGTTACCACAGTTACCTGAAGGATGTCAGGACATGCCTTGATTAAATCAGGACTATAATGCTGGAGGGAATTCTCACAAACAGGAATTAGCACTTCCTGTGCAGGGTATTTGATATTTAATAGCTGAGGAATGGCTTTTGAAAATACTGTTCGTTCCTTTTAATGTTATTTCCTCTCCTCTGCAGGCAATTCATCCCAGCCTTGTGCTCAGAGGAGCTCCCAGCGGGGCGTCCCAAGGAGTGCTGTCAGGAGAACTGCTGCCTTAAAAGCAAGAGAAACTTGTGCTGCTGCCTTTGAGAGCAGTGCCCCAGCTCCTCCAGCCCAGGGCCAAAGGCAGAAGCCTAAAACTGTCTCAGAATTACTGAGAGAGAAGAGGTTAAGGGAGGCCCAGGCTAAGAAGGCCGTGCAGAGGACGGTGTTGGTGGCCCCACAGGTGCTGGTTTCGGGGCCTTTGATAATCCAGCACCCACCACAGCAAATCATTCCTTCTGCACAAGCAGGGAGCAAACCTGCAGCAGCTGGGTGTGCAAATAGCCAAGTGCAGGGTGCACCAGCTCCAGTGCCAGCAAGTGCTTCTGCTGCAGGTTCCACTTCTGCTGTCGTGCCTGAAAACCATTCCTCAGCAGTGCCAGAAACGGGGGAAAGCCCTGGTTGCTCACAAGGGACAGATCTGCAGTGCAATAAGGAACTAAAAGAGAAAGCTTTGGAAAGCAGCCCTGAGGGAAGGGGTTTTCCAGGCACGAATCCAGCTGCAGCAGAGAAGGCCCCAGATCAGGGAGGGTGCAATGGTCAGGTCAGAGCCAGTAGCTCAGCCTCAGTCGTGCTGCAAAGCCAGGCTTTTGTGCCAGGCCGGATCACAGTGGTGCCTGTTGGCCTGGAGCCTGGCACCAACAAACTGCCCCTTTCCACACCAGTCCCCTGTGAGCCAAACAGTAACAGGCCAAAACACAGGCCAGTCAGCCTCCTGCCTGCTCTTGTCACTCCCCAGGCTGGATCTGCCGTGATTCCCAGCAGCATCCTGCCCTTCACGTGGGTGGTGACCCCCCAGGCTCTGCTCCCCACCGCTGTGCAGGCTGTGGTGGGTGTTCCCCAAGCAACACCAGCTGCTCCAGGGAGAAGTCAGTGCCAGACAGCTGGGACTTCCAATGGCAGTGTCTCTGGTTTGGGAGCGACTCCTGTGGCAGCTGGAGCGAATCCCCCTCACCCCAGCAGTGCAGAGACGAAAGGGCCGAGTTCCCAGGGAGCAGGAGTTCCTTTGGGAAAGGCAGCTGAACATTCCACAATCCTCTTACCTGGGACCTCAGTGAGTGCTGGATGCACCTCATCCAGCGTTTCTTCTGCAACACCTGCCTGTTCCAATGGCTTCTCCAAGGCTTCTGACTCCCCTGCAGCTCAGACTGCCCCTTCCCCTGACACCCCAGCCCTGGGTGCCGTTGGGCTGCCCCAGACACAACTCCCTGCAGACACTCAGGGGGCTGATCCCCAAGGTGTGCCCAGCCTCACCAGCTCGGGAAAGAGCCCTGACTCCGCTCCAGCAAGCACAGAGATCATCACACAAGGGATTGTGCTCCAGCCAGGAGATCCAGCTCCTCACGGCAGTGCCCCAGCGAGCTCGGGTGGCTTTGCTGCCCAAGCCCTGAAGAACAGACCCATTGCCTCCAAACCTGAGGATGTTCCCCCCCAGCCAAGCACTTCCAGTGCAGAGAGGAATCTCCTTGACTTCAGCCTGGTTTCTCTGGAAGATGAGGGGCTGGTGAGGGAGTGGCTGAGTGGGAAAAAAGGTGTCCAGGTCCCCTCGCTGCAAACCAGGCTGCCTTATTTGCCACCTTTTCTGTGCAACATAAAAACCCTCTCGAAGCTGCTCCTGCAGAAAGCAGCTCTGGAGGAGCAGGCATCGAGTCTCCTGCCCCCTGATGCCACTGAGGATGGAGGCACTCGGGATGTTTTCCGTGCTATCGGAGAACTGGTGCAGCAGAAACTGGGTGATAACCCTGCTTACCTCCTGCTGAAAGCCAGATTCCTGGCAGCATTCACACTCCCAGCTGTCCTGGCAACTCTGCCTCCTCCAAAAGTGACAACAACTCTGTCAGCCAGCAGGAAGCAACATGAGGAGAGTGATGAAGAGGAGTGGCAGAGTGAGAAGGAAGTGTCTGAGGAAGAGAGTTGTGGGAATGAATTAACGGGAGTGCAGTTGGATTGGAGAGCTGGGGATGAGCCTGGAGACAAAGACGCTGATTTACTGAATCAGGTAAAACAAATGCCAGGAGCTAAAAGCAGAAAGTTGCTCCCAGCTAAATATTGCACTGGAACCCAGGGAGAATCCCCCACTGTTTTTAAGTGTAGAAGAAATGTGGTCCTTTTGAGTAAACGTGGTATCACAGCTGATAAAACAAAAAGCAGGTTTTCACTGCCAACCTTTCTTCTGTCAGGTTGTTTTCCTGGCAGTTTTCAGGGGAAAGGTTGTGGTAGGGGCTGTGTTTTATGAGCAATCAGAAGCTGGTGTGACCTGTGCTGTCTGGGGCACTGTCTTGGCTCCAGCAGTGAGAGCCAAAGCATCACTCGTGGCAGGCACCCAACCTCTAACAAAAGGTTGTGCCCCAACCTCTGTAATGGGCAGTTGTGCCCAGACAGAAACAACAGCAGGAATTGCTCTGCTCTGGGAACAGGAACAGGGGGAAAGGTCAGTGTTGGCCAAAGGTCTTGCTCTGAAAACTCAGGAATGTTTTGTGCTTTGTCTGACACTGGTAACAGAATGTCCCATGCTTATTTTTGAAGGTAAGTGGAAGATTATTTTGGAAATCTTGCTGAGCTCCATAAAATAAAACGATGGCTGGAGGGGTTATTTGCAGTTCTGCTCACTCTCGTGGTGCTGATCATCTCCTGCTTACGTTGCAGGGCCTGGGGGCTGAAGAGGGCACTGCCCAGTCTGCCCTGGACTCCTGCACTGCTGTGGCTGATGCCAGTGCTGCCCCAATCAGGAGAAGTGCCCGCTGCAGGAAGAGGAAGAGGAGGATGTGAGATGTGTTAGTAGCTACTCAGAGACTTGCATTTTGTGCCTGTGTGGTTCAGCTCAGACAATGAATCACAACCCCAGGAAAGGGCTGAAATTCTCTCTGCTCTTGTTCCCCGAGGACACAGAGTTCTGCAGTCACCACTAATCACAGCCTAAGGCTGATAATCTGTTTGGGGGAGTTTAACATGTCACCTTTGAACAACAGTGTGGGGTTTTGAGGGGTTTATTTCCCCTTAATGGCTTCGTTTCCCTACACTGACAACAGGCCAGCTTCTGCAGGGTACAAGTGTGTGATGTCCTTAGTACCTGTTGAGGTTTTGGTGCCACAGATGGAATGAACACGGGCAGTGTTTGCTTCTCATGGTTGGCAGATGACACTGCTCGAGTTTTTTTTTTTATCTTTCAAATTCGTTTTAGAAACTCCAGAAGGGCAACTTCCCCCTAAAAATGCTGTGACTGATGGGAGCTGTTTGTGCTTTGTTACAGAGGTCACTGGAATGAGCTCTGCCTTCCTGCATGGCAGTAGGAGGTACTCTTTGCACTGTTCACTTTTACCACTTCCAACACGCCAACTGGATGGACCTGGGGAAGAGGAAAATGGCTGGACTGGTTTTCCCATCACCCAACAAAATCTGCATCTTGTAGGAAAGGTGCAAAAAAATGAAAGAAAATGACTGGAGGGAAATCTTTCAGGCATGGACCAGTTCTGCTCTTTCAAACTCACACCTGCCAGAGATGCTGGGGGAGAAGGTGCTGGAGATCTGGGGGGACCAGCAATGGTGGTTATTTATTTCCTTTTTGTTCAGCCCCTATTTATGTGAATGTTTATCCATGTTCAGAATATGTTGTCAATGGGGTGTTTTTTAGTGCTGTGACAGTGGCTTTGCTTGCTAACTGGCTGAACGCTGCTGAATAAGCAGCAGATTAATTTTGTATCAAAATGAGTCTTAAGTATTTGTTGAAATACAGATGTTTTATTTTTCTCACTTAAAAATTACTGCTGCGTTCTGTGTGGTTTTTTTCCCCTGGTAAATAGTGCTTTTAATAACGTGTGCATGAGTGTGATTGCTAATGAGAAAAATGAAGTTTGCAAGCTGCATGAAAACCAGGGAGACTGTGGAAAATGAATATTCATGTGGCTAAAAAGGATTGAATTCAGCTTGGATTCTTTCTTGGTTCTTCCACAGCCTGCCCTGTAGAGACATCAGCAAATCACTCAACAACAACTTGTTTCTTCATTTATAAACCAGCAATTTCTGTCTCCCCGAGAGGTGCAAGGTTAGCTGAGGCAAAGCTGATCAAAACTAGATGGAAAATGCTGCAGAAACCTTCGTTGCACTGCACTGACTGAGCTTGCCCTGAGTGTGGTGATGAGTTCTGTGAGTTCCAACCCTTCCACAAGGGCCCTTCAGGCAGAGGTCAGGGGGACAGTGGGTGCCAATGCTGCTGTAATTTGGTGTTGACATTCTGGAGTGATTGGAATGATTGTGGAGTGGCTTTCCTCTTGCAATGGGCTCTATTTTCCATAAGCCAGTGTAGATGACGTTTTTCCAAGAAATTCATCTGGCTCAGAAGCAGTTCTGGGGGCTGTTCACAGGCTGTTATGGTGACCTGTGCTCTGAATGACTGTTGTCCTCTATTAAATGCCACTCAGAAGGTGCCCTTGTAAACTGTTTGTGGAAAAACTGTTCAAGAAGCAGCTGCCTTTGTCCTTTTTCAGGATTAAACTGATGTGCCACTATAGAACAAAACCTCCCAGGTTTAGATTGGTCAATTAGCAGCCAGTGATTGCCTTCAGCAAGGGCACAGCTGACACAGGGACTGTACTTTCTTTTAATGTAAAGCTAATTTAATGCCTACCAACAGTCACAGCCTGAAAGAATCTCTGAGCATCTCTGCCCCACTCCTGATGATAACATGGAAAAACTCTCCACAAACTTAGAAAGCAGAACAAAGAGCGGAGTGGGAAGCTAATGGAAGATGTGTCACGCTGCCATGGCATCAGAGCCTGTGTGTTCTCCAGGCTTTTTTAACAGAGTCCTTGTCTCAGCTACATCTCCAGGACTGTGGGAAGAGGGGGAGGCAGGCACAGGTCTTGTGTTGATGCTCAGCATCATCACTGTGCTGCTTTCTGTGCTGCTGCTTTCACTGCAGTTACAGCCCCAGCCTGTAATTTGGGGATCGTGGGTTATGTTCCTCTCTTTGCCAAGGCTTGACTCCCTTTCCCCTCACAGCACTGAGTTGTCACAATTATGCTCGAAGCTTAAGGACATCCAAAATTAGAGGCATCATTATGGAAATCGTCCTTTTCAGCACAACTCTAAACTGAGTCCTTGCTGCCACCTGCTTTCCTGGACAGAGATGTTGACAGCTGGAAGGATAGGCCTTTGAAGAGCCTCTTCCTTCTAATTTTGTGGCTGGTTTTAATCCTCTGAAATCATCTGCACAGACCTATGCCTGTGACTTTCATTCTTTTTAGTGGTTGGGTTTTTTTTTTAAGTCTTTCTGACCACTGCCCAAGGAATCTCTCTGGACCCCAGCAGGTAGTTCAGTGGGGCAGATGGGAAATGAAGCCAGAATGAGTCCAAAATCACTGTGTGTGTTTTGCTGCTGACTCACGACACCACCACCATTTTTCTCCTCCCCAACACCCATTCTGGCTTCCCCTTTTTTATTTATCTCTTTTTTTTCCCCTCCATTTCCCGTCTTAGAGTACAGCTGAGTAGTTTCCCCTTTTCTCAAACTAGTTTTGCTCCTGGGATGATCTTTGCTCTGTCCAGAATATAAAGGGAGGCTGCACCCAGGACAAGTTTTCTCAGAGCCAGGACTCAGGAGAAGAAACCAGGAGGTTTTTGTGACTGCACAGGCTCAGGTTGGTCCGTGGAATACAGAATGGCTCGTGTTAACAGGGAAAAATACATTTTACAGCTCTGAGGCAATAATGGGTTTAGCAACAGAGAAATGCATCTCCTGTAATCTGCTGGTGTTTGTGACCATAAATTGCTGAAGCTGCAGATGTGTGAGGTGGGATGTCCTGGAGGACGCAGGGGAATGTTTGTTAGTGAGATCTGACAGCGCTTTCTTGGGATAGCTGTCGGGAATCTAGAGCTGGTTGGATTTTCCTTTGTTCTCAGGGCTCTCCATGACTTGCCTATCCCCACTAAGTCTGTTCCTAAATAGTTTTCCTTTCCTGTTGCAGTGAGCTCTGGGAGCTGTTCAGCTGCTTGGAAGGAGGTTCCTTGAGCTTTGGTGACTTCTGTTTTCTGAGAATTTCTCCCCAGCTGTGGCAGCAGCACTGGCACCACCCTCAGCTGCCGCTGCCTCCACTCCGGGACCTCGCTTTGTGTGAGGTGTGACCGTCCCACGGGTGATTTGCCAGCACGTGGCAGATGTGCTCCTGTGCCTAAAGGACACTTTTCCATCCTCACCCTTGGCTTTTCCACCACGCTCCGGGAGGCTGAGTCTGCTCGTTTGTTTTCTGGGCGTCGTTTCGCAGCCAGGACAGCGCCGCTCACTGACACTCCTCCCCCCTGCCATGCTGGAGGAGGACAACGACGAGACCTGCTGGAACAACCTGGAGAACTTCCGAGTGAAGCTGATCTCCGTCATCGACCCCTCCCGCATCACCCCCTACCTCCGGCAGTGCAAAGTGCTCAGCCCTGATGACGAGGAGCAGGTCCTCAACGACCCCAGCCTGGTCATGCGCAAGCGGAAGGCAGGTGGGTGGCTGAGGGCGGCCTTTGGCTCCCCGGGTGCTCCTGTGCTCTGCTGGGAGCAGGTTGGAACAATTCAAAGACTCCTGTGTAGTCACTGGGCAGTTGGTTTGGGATTTTCTGGGGAATTAAGGCACTGGAAGGGCTGCCCAGGGAGGTGGTGGTATCACCGTGCCCAGAGATGTTAAAGGACAGACTGGATGTGGCACTCAGTGCTCTGGTCTTGTTGGCAAGGTGGTGTTTGGTCAGAAATTGGACTTAATAATCTCAGAGCTCCTTTTCAACCTGATTCTGTGATTCTGTGATTTAATCCCAGGGATTTCTGTACGTGGAGAAAGTGGAGCCATTTTTGTTATGTTAGAAATAGGTGAAGAGATGAGTAACTGAACAGAACCTCCTGTTGCCATTCTTTCAGGAGTTCTTCTGGACATTCTTCAGCGAACAGGACACAAGGGCTTTGAGGCCTTCATGGAGAGTCTTGAGCTTTATTATCCACAGCTGTATAAGAAAATAACTGGCAAGGAGCCCAGCAGGGTTTTCTCTATGATTATAGGTACTGTTTGTGTTCTTCAAAACCGCTCTTCCTTTGGTGTTGCTGTGCAGAGTTGGGAGCACTCCCTGCCTTGCTCCCTCTGTGTGCTTTGGGAGGGTTCTGGGAAGAACAGCCCTGGTGTCAGAGGCTGGACTGGGAGGAAGGTGGAGAAGGAAGCAGAGGGATCAATTCTTTCTGCCTGTTCTGTCAGTGGCACTGTGGTGCAGGAGGGCACAGAGCAGGGGATAACCCGATCACACAGGTTCGGGGTTGGCATGGGCTGGTCCCGAGCTGCAGTGGGAAGTGGGGGGAAGCTGAGCTGTGTGTGTGCCTGGGAGCAGCCAGGACAGCAGGGCTGACTCCTGCCCCCCAAACAGACACTGCTGGGGAATCAGGCCTGAGCCAGCTGCTGATGAACGAGATCATGAAGCTGCAGAGCGCGGTGCAGGAGGAGCGGCGCAGGGCCCAGGAGCTGACGGTGTGGCTGCACAGCAAGGAGGACACCATCAGGGAGATGTGGGTGAGGGACAGCCTGCTCCGAAAGCACCAGGAGCGCGCCCAGAGGATGAAGGAGGAGAGGGACAGCCTGAGCAGGGAGCTGAGGAAGTGCAAGGACGAGAACTACAACCTGGCCTTGAGCTTCGCCAAGCAGAGCGAGGAGAAGAGCGCGGCCCTCATGAGGAACAGGGACCTGATCCTGGAGGTCAGTCACGTGTCTCCAGCTTCCCCCCTCTTACCTGAGCCCTGGAAGGATGGGCTGAGCACCTGACTTGTCTTTGAACCTTCTCACAGATTGACCACTTGAAGCACAGCCTCATGAAGGCTGAGGACGACTGCAAGCTGGAGAGAAAGCACACCATGAAGCTCAAACACGCCATAGAGCAGCGCCCCAGCCACGAGGTGGTGTGGGAGATCCAGCAGGAGAAGGAGCTGCTCTTGGCCAAGAACCAGGAGCTGGAGAACACTCTCCAGGTTGGTGGCGTGGTTGAATGTGGATTTGTGAGAAGTGGTTATTTGTGGCAGCCAGGGAAGTGATGAGGCTGTGTATTCCGTGGGTCAGCTGTGTCCTTGTTCTCCCAAGTCAAGTAGAGCACTGCAGAGGGGGAGAGAGTTGATGTGGAGTTAGGTGGTGGCTGTATCTCACTTCTTCCTTTGTCCAGCAGGTTGCCAGGGAACAGAATTTGGAGAAGAGCCTCTCCAAGGAGGCTCTGGAGGGTGACTGCAGGCAGGTCCTGGAGGAACGGCGGGAGCTGGTGAACACCATTTACAGCCTGCGCAAGGAGCTGCGCCGAGCCAGGGCGCTCCAGGACAAAGTAGGTGCTGCAGGACGAACTCCTCCTCAGGGGCCTGCTGGGAGACAGGCAGCTGAACACCTCCTGCCTGTGGAGCAGAGCAGCTGCTCAGAGCAATCCTATTGTAGGATCTGTATTTTAGCATTCCTGGTGGCTCAGGCTGTGGAGGTGGCACAGAGCAGGAGTGGTGCCAGCCTGGCTCAGGCTTTGCCCACAGCCAGGTGCTTTCTGACCTTGTCTCAGCAGTATGCAGAGGAAAAAGAGATGCTTGAACTGCAGTGCACATCCCTGAGGAGGGACTCCCAGATGTATAAAAAACGGATTGAAGCTGTTCTGCAGCAGATGGAGGAAGTGGCCGCAGAAAGAGACCAGGTGATAGGACATTCCTCATGGAATGCTGCTCGTCCCTGCTCTGCTGCCCAAAGTCGGCAGATACGTAACCCTGACTGTGCTGCTGTTGACATGGCATGTGTTGTCCCTCTCCCCAGGCTCTCCTGACCCGGGAGCAGTTCCACCTGCAGTACTCCAAGAACCTGGTGGAGAGGGACACGCACCGCAAGCAGATCCGGGAGCTGGGGGAGAGATGTGACGAGATGCAGCTGCAGCTCTTCCAAAAGGAGAGCCAGCTGCTGGCCACCGAGGCCAAGCTGAAAAGGTTGCAACTGGAGCTGCCCACCCCGGTAGGACTGTGATCCCTGGGGTGGGATTGGGAAGCCAGAGCGTGGCTCTTCCGAGGCCTTTGCAACCTGGAGAGCTCCAGGGACCCCCTGCCTGGGGAGCCACTGAAATTAAATAAAACCAAATGCCGAGTTTAGGCAATGAAAGACACGATGGTTCCCGTGACCTGACCTTAGTTCCAGGCATGGATAGGGTGGGCTGATGCTGTGTTTGTGTTTGGAGCATGAGGAATGCTTAATTTCTACTGGTTTTGTTTCAGACCTCTGACCTGGATGACACGTCCTCCAGAGATTCCCAGGAAGTGAGTAGGGTTGCCTTGTTTGCCTTTCACTTTCTTTTGGGATGGTTTCATTTTTCTCACTCGTGCTCAGTTCCCCAAGGATCAGCAGTTTCCAATCCATGGCTCAGGCACCAGGGAAAGGCTGTTCTAAGCCTTTCTTGTATTCCTGTCTCTCTCCCTGCAGACTGAGGGACAGTTCTCACATTCTTCCTCTGTTTCTGTCCCACAGCTCACCCTTCACAGTCACCTGGATGAAGATGCACAGCCCACTAAAAGTAAGGCTTTACTTGGGAAAACACTGGGTAGAATTCTGGAGAGGATGGTCCAGTGTTTCAAAGGGAAATGAGAAGACATTTCTGGGGTTTTATTTTTAGCTGCTCACAGAACAGAACAAACATCCTTCAGCTGGACCATGTGGCTTTCTCCAGGGATTCTTCCCTCCCCTCTTCCCTTTTATGTTGCAGGTTGTTTTCCTAAAAGCAGAACCAGGTGGTGAGTGCTGTCACTGGTTCTGTTTCTGTGGCATCCCCAGTGGAAATGATTCAGCAGTGTGGAAAGGAATTAATAGGCTCCTCTTAGAACTGGAAAATCTCTTTTGAAACAGGTTGAGAAAGGGAGAAAACTGGCACAGTAGAAGAAATTTTCTGGTTTGACCTCCTGGAAGATCTAAATGATCTGTTCATTCACTGAGAGGGGAGATTATTTACAAAAGCTTAACAACACTGATCCAAAAAAATTTTCATTATTCTGACTTGCTCAGTTCAAAAATATGTATCATGACACCTGGTCACTACATAAGGAGTTTCACCAAAATATGGTCTGATGTGAAGTGCCTTGATATGCACAACTTGGGGAACAGGGATAAATTACACTTAAAATAATAATTAACATGTTTCTCATGGTGACCTCTAATATGAGTATTATTTCTTTAATGATGCTGAGCAGAGGTGTTGCTTGGTAAAAGTTTGTTTTGCTCCTGCATAAGCAGAATGTGGGGAACTCCACCATCTGAGCAAGACTCAGGGCTCAAGTAAAATGAGAAGTGACTCTGCACTGATCACAGGGCCAAGTCCTGGCATTTTGGGCTTGGTTTCAGTTCTGCTGAGGACTCTGTGCAGTTACATCACAGTTTGAAGAACTGGTGGACGGAGAAGTTATTTCACAATGGCAACTCTGACTAAAGCTGTGATTTTTTTCCATCTCTCCGAAGATTGCCCTGAAGGACCAAACCAGCAGCTCAGCCCTGGAGAGGACAATCTGCCCCCAAAGTCACCCAGTGTAAGGGAATCTTCGTGGGCCCCTCTGGGGTTTGTGGTCTTTCATGTTCTCATTAATGATGGATTTACCAGGTTTGAGAAAGCTTTGTCAGCTTTTCCAAAATCTGAGCACTTAGTGCAGAATTCACCCTCCAGAAAGGGTGAGCTCTGAACAGCAGAACTTGTGGTTATTTCTCCATTTGTGCATAGAAACTTCTCCCAGTTACTTTCTATCTTTCATCTCTGGGTGTGGACGTTTTCCAGTCTAATTGACTGCAGCATTACTGTTTGTACAGGAAACAGAATCCCAGATTTACAGATGTGAGGGAATAAATATGCTAAAACTCTGTGAGGCAGAGGTATTCCCATCCTGCACACACATGAAGGGACAGCCCAGAAACCAATCTACTGCATTCCATTCTGCAGGCAGCTATGTGGTGCTAACACTGATCTGATGTTTGGATTAATCCAGTTAATTTTTTTTTTTTTTTTTTTAATTCAAGGAGTGTGGCTTGGCCAGCGAGGAACTGGCAGAAAAGGAGAGGAAGAGGATGAAGGATTGCTTTGAGCGCTACCGAAGGTGTGCGTTGCAGTAAGCAGGACTAACCTCGGAATACCTGTGTGGCCTAACTTAGTATCTTTTTTTATATCTGTTTCCTCTTTCCTGTCCATCCCCTGCCCCCAAACCTGAGCCAGGGAGGCCATAAAATGAAACACAAACTGGACTAATACATACTAAACCTCCCCAAAGCGTTGAAATGCTGCTTGTCTGCAGAAAACACCTTTCTAAAAATGACACGACCGGTCTTGTTTTGCAGAAAAAGAGCCATGAGGAGGGTGCCAAAGGACCGGCACCACGAGGCCGACTGGGAGAACACCACGGGCAGCGACAACACCGACACCGAGGGCTCCTGAGCGGGGACAGTGAGGACACTGAGGGCTCTGGAATGAGGGACAACGGGGACACCCTCAGCTCCTGAGTGCAGGAGCCAACCTGCGAGGAAAACCTAGCCTGTGCTGGGGTGGCTGAGCCTCTTTCGTGGACTATTTCGATTTTAAAACCGTCCACCCCAGCATTCGCGAAAAGTTAACGCGTGAAAGGCCGATCCGAGCCAAAGGTTTGGACTCCGCGTTCTCAAGAGGTCTTTTCCAACTCGTTGCTTCTGCCTCTTGACAGCCCCTCTTCTATCTCTCTTATGGGTTAATAAACACCATTAAATATCTGTGGCAGTGCCCGGGGCTGAGCTGCGGTTAATTAAAGGGTTAATTAAAGGGTTAATTGATGGCGGGTCCCTGGCGGTGCCCGAATCCAACATGGCCGCCGGCGCCTCAGCCCCCGCCCCCCGTGGCGCAGGCGCGGTGCGATGCGGCGCGTGGCGCGGGCCGCGCTGAGGGCTCTGCCCCGGGAGGCGCCGCCATGGCGGCCCTGCCGCCCCCCGCCCGGGCCCGGGGCAGCTCCGACACCGCCCCGCCCGCTCTGCACCGCCCCAGAGCCGCCCTGGGGCCCGGCCCGCCCGCTCTGCACCGCCCCAGAGCCGCCCTGGGGCCCGGCCCGCCCGCTCTGCACCGCCCCAGAGCCGCCTCCGGGGTCCGGCCCGCCCGCTCTGCACCGCCCCGGGTCCGCCGCCCTCCAAGCACTATCGCCTGGTGTTCACCTGCAAGGTGGGCTGGGGGGTTGTGAGGGACAGAGCCGGGGGGGGCTGCCGGTGTAGCTGCTTGCTTGTGGTTCTAAACTTGCAGTCACAGACTAACTCAGGCTGGAAGAGCCCTCTGGAGGTTTCCAGTCCCGCCCCCTCGTGCGAGGAGGATGTTGGGGGTCTTGTGAGCATCGCTGAGGATCCCCCTCCTCAGCGAGGCACGGAGAGCAGTGAAACCCCGCCCGGCTGCGCTCAGGGCAGCGAGGCGCTTGGGATGGTTCGAGGTGTCGGAGAGCAAGTTTTACTCGCGTACAGTGTGGCCCAGGAGCTGCAGTTCCCGCGCTCACCAAATCCGCTCTTGCTTTCCAGGTGTGCCAGACGCGCTCGTCCAAATCCATCTCGAAGGCCGCCTACCACCGCGGGGTGGTGATCGTGACCTGCCCCGGCTGCGGGAACCACCACGTCATCGCCGACAACCTGGGCTGGTTCTCCGACCTGCAGGGAAAGAGGTGCGTGTGCCGAGGGATCCTGCTCAGCTCCCGCTCAGCGGTGCAGCCGGACCCTCCTTGAGCTCGTATGTCATTTCTGTGATGATGCTTTTAAAATCTGGCTCAGAGGAAAAAAAACACAAAGGTTTTGCTGGGTGTCATTCTCTTTCATCCGATTCCTTAAAAGCACACAGAGTCGGTTTTAAGTCACCTGTAATTTGACTGGCACTGCCTAGGATCCAGATAATGGTGTGAAGCTGCAGCAGAAGCTGTGGGGGGCACAGGGATCTTTGTTGGTGGCAGCAGGTGAATTGCTGCCTGTGGGGTTCTGTTCCCCTCAGTCTTTACTACATCACTGCTGGGTTTCCCTGGATAAGTGTTTCAAGCGTGTTGGACTCATCTGCTGTGGAATTCCCGTGATTTCTAACTTGCTGAGATACCTTTAAAAGCTTCTGTTTAGCTGTAATTGCTAAATTATTGATCATAGTGGGTAAAAATAGTCCCAGAAGGTTTGGGTGGTTTTCTCTGCTTCCCAGACTTGTTCTTGAGGAATCCCATGGTGATGCTCTTGTGATTCACTGCGTGGAGTCAATCCTGAGGGCAGAGTGGAGGAGGGAACCTGTGCTGGGCCTTTGCTGGGGTGTCACTGTTGGTTCTCAAATCGCTGTCCAGGAATATCGAGGAGATCCTGGCAGCCAAAGGGGAGAAGGTGAGACGTATGGCTGGTGAGGAAGCTCTGGAATTGCTGCTGGAAAGCTCAGCAGAGCCCGAGTCCCAAGGTCAGCTGGCAGAGGGGGACAGCAAGGAAGCCCCCCCAGAAGCTGGCAGCAAGGGACAGACCTGACACGTGGGATTTGGGTTGTCCTACTGGTGCCAAGAGACTCTTCACCTTCATTCCCTGATTTCCACAGTCTGTATTTAAAATAAACTCATGTGGGGTTTTCTCTGTCTTGTGCCTTTGTCTTGTGTAGCTTTGCCTTTGATCAAGCTGATGTCTTTAGAGGTGGTGTGGGTGTTTTTCCTGGTACTTGTTTTGCTGACTTTGAGGCCGTTTTCAGTTCTCCAGCAGTGCCCAGAGCCCAGCTTTGTTCCCTGCTCAGAAGGCAGCCAGAAATTCTTTGTCTGTGTGATTTTGGCCCAGCAAGGTGCAGCTGGAGCTGGAGGTCTCAGGGATGTCCCCTGCCCTTCCCAGGTGTTGCAGAGCTGGTGGAGGTGCATCCCATGGCAGCTGAGCAGAGGAGGCAGTTGATACCATGAGGAGGTGAGTCCCAAATTCCAAAGCCAAAATGGTCCCACAGGAGGGTCAGATCACCAGCTCTTACTGCTTTCATCTGTCCTTTGCACAGGAGGCAGTAAAACCCCTCTCAGCCTTGGTGTCTGGGGCTGAGCAAACCCCTTTCTCTCAGCCAGTCTTGTCGAGGTGCTCACGGTCCTTAATCAGCCAAGGATTCAGTGAGGACATTGTGTGTATGAATGCATTTCCTTCATCAGAAGTGTTCATAGTAATTTTATACGTGTTGCAATATCAGTATTGGGTCAGAGCAGCAGGAAAGTTGTCGTGTCAGTTGATGTGTCAGTTCAGAGTGATGAAACAGGGGCAGGACCTTCAGCAGCCAGCTTGTGTGTGCTCAGCCCCTGTGAAATCCAGAAACAAGAGCTGCTGGGGAGATGCAGAACTGAGAAACAGGAGTCTTGCACCTCAGAGCACTGCTGTGTGCTCACCCTGTGCTGAGCTGTTGGCACCTCTTAGCACTGCTGCAAAAGTGCTGATTTTATTACCTTTAATCTGAAAATCAGCATTCTGCTTCCATGGTGCTGATGCCTTTGATGGGGTGGAACAGAGCAGCTGTTGCAGGATCCGTGTTGCCTTGGAAACAACTCATTTACAACCTGTTTTTTTTAGGCTGTTTTCCTTACCTTTCATACCTGTTACTGTGCTCCAGCTACAGGAAGGTGGTGCTAGGGTTTTTTACTGTGTTATAGTAAAAAATGGAGCAAAAGCTGTGTTGGCCATTCCTAGATTTTGGTGTTTCCTTGTCCCAAGTGTCCTCTGGCACCAGGTGCCTCTGCAGCCCCCAGCTCTGAGCAGGGAAGGGGGCAGTTCTTGCTGCTGCTCTGAAGGCTCAGGCCAACATCACATGAGGGAATTTGCATGTAATGCCAAAAAAAAAAATCTGCTGCTCAGAGATTCCAGGTAAAAAAAGGAATTTTGTGCTCCCTTTTGAGGAGGGTTTTTCTGAAAAATGTTGTGTCCCAGGGCAGTGGGTTTGCTCTGGAGGGGGGACACAGGTGTGTCTGGGGGAAGCCCAGCAGAGCTTGGTTTAGCCAGAAATGGGGAGTGGGGAGAAGCAGCTTTTCTCCTGAACTTGGAGGTGTGTCAAGATGGGGAAAAAGTGCTGTGAAGGTCCAGTGGAACAGGAGACAGACTGAAGGAGCAGAGGAGAGACTGGAGGCACAGCTGACCAGGGTAAGTCTTTGGGACACAGAGGGGAGGTGGTGATTTCCAGGGGAACAAAGCAGCAGTCCCAAGGGCAGCAAACAAAGCTGTTTGCACGTTCTTTGACACATTCCACTGTGGTTAAAGGGATGGATCCTGTTCCTGAATCCTGTCCCACAAGGGCTTTCCTGCAAAAGGGCAAACACTGCCTCATTTTCTGCCTCTGTAGTGCTGCCAGTGTTTACCCAGCAGAGCAGGACTGTGCTGGGCCCAGTCTGTCAGATGAGGGGCACTGGGTTCTGGGACCAGGGGTAGTAAAGGGGGCTGAAATGGGGTCATGTGGGGCTGAGAGCCTTTCCAGCTCAGGAATATCAGTGAGGGCTGGAGCAGCAGCACAGTGAGGTTCTGGGGAGGGCTGAGGGAAGTGATATCACATCACAGCCCTGATGTGACTTGGCCATAAGGAAAAAAATAATTCCCCCAGGGCTAACATCAGCCCTGTCCTGCATGTGCCTCGGCTGGGTAGGAGACGGCAGGATCTCGTGTTCTGATGGGTTTTGGGAATTCTTCATGAAGAGGATCTGCCCTGCACCAGGGACAGCCTCTGCTCCGAGTACCTCACTCCACAGCTGCAGCAGCAGCACCGCACGGCCCCGGCAATCCCGCGGCTCTCCGGCGGGTGTCACCATCGGAGAGCTCTTCCCGACTTGGGATCGAGCTCTGGGGGTGTGGGAGAGGGAAGGGTTCAGCAGAGCAGGCTCTGGGCTGCCCTGGAGACTCAGTGGCAGCCAGTGCCTCCAGACGAGCCAGCGTGTGCTGCCTTCCCCAGCGCTGAGGATGGGGAGACAGGAGGGGAGACCCCATCACTCATCCCCAGGGATGGCATCTGCTCCTGGGAACCTGAGCCTGCACACAGAGACTTCTGGCACAGAGCTACTGCAGGGGGGCACCCAGAGGTATGAGGATGGCTCTTCCTGGATCTTTGCTCAGGGCTGGCAGTGGCCAGCACGGCTCAGCCAGGCGTGGGAAGACCAGCTGGGACTTGGCTTTATCCTCACATTCAAACTCTGCTGCTCCCAAGGCTGCTTTCTAGCACAGTCCAAGAGCCTGCTCATGCCTGCTGCTGTGTAAGTGTCCTCTCTGAGGGCTGGTGCCAGGGCTGTGCAGTGCCCTGGCTGCCCTGCTCCCCTGGCAGCTGCTGGGGGACAGCTCAGCCCTGGGCCAGGCGCCGGGGCGGCACCGACACAGGCAGGGCCTGAAAGGAACGGCCTGGCCTTCCCTCGGCCTTTTCCAGGGGTCTTTTCTCACCATGCAGGGCTGCTCTGCCTGCCCTGTCGTCCTGGAAACTCCTGGGCAGGGAATTCTCAGGGCTCTGTAGCCTCCCTCCACAGCCACATCCATGCTGGAAGGCAGGCAGAGCTGGAATTAGGGGCTGCTGCCACGAGACCCGTGTGCTCTCAGTGTAAAGGGGAGTGTAGGTGGGTGCACACACCCTTTTGTTAACATGTGGGGTGTCTCTCACCAGAGATCCCCCCACCCACCCCCATCCCCATTCCAAAGGGTCAGGATTAGCCCTGCTGTCAGCCAAGAAATAATGGAAATGAGTATTGCACTGAAGCTTAGACACAAATATTTATTAAGCACAACCCCCCCCACACTCCTTCCCCTTGAGCTGTATTCATTTCTAATATATTAATCCATTTGGCAGATTATTTTTTAGAAAAACAAAAACAAGTACCTGTGGGTTGGAAATTCCCCATTAAAATGACATTAGCAAATGCACATGTAAAAAATAAATAAGCTCATACATTCAAGTATATGGCAAATAATACCTCAATAATACCTCTGAAAGCTTAATGGTCAGATTCCAGTTCACCACCTGGCTGAGAGCTGCACAGGCCCGAGCCTGCAGCTGGTCAGGTCATCATCATCATCATCAATGTTTTCTTTTTTTACAAATGCCAGCTTGGCTGGTACAAAGGTGGCTGGGGCAGCTCCTCCTCTCCCTTCTCCAGAGCTCTGCCCGGCCCCAGGAAGGAGGCCCAGCCTTGGCCAAGTGGTCCGTGCAGCAGGTGAGTGCTCCCAGGTAGCAGGGAAAATGCAGCTACCACTCCACATGGTCAGTGCAGGCAGGGAAAATGCCCCATGAGCAGCATCACTGGTCTAAAAAAACATCTCACTGCTGGTTGGGAATGTTTCCATCAAACGCATTCCAAACAGGAAGTGTTGGTTTTACTCTCTACAGGAACGTCGCCGCTTCGGCACAACTCGGTGCTGGAGTTTCTGAAGTCCGAGATAGTCTCTGGTCAAGAGGAGGGAAAATCCTGCACCTCCTGAAGTCAGGTCCCTGCTTCCCACCTCCAGCTTTTCCAGCTGGTCCAAAAGGGGAAGGAATGACAGTAAATGTGGCTGGGGCTCCCCTGAGGCTCCAGGTATCGGAGACAGGTGGGGCACAGCTACGGTGCCTTGCCAGGAGCAGCTCAGCACTGGTTTGGGGGAAACATGGGAGGGTGAAGAGCCATGATCTTGAGCTGCTGTTGGACACAGAAGGGAGGAAGGACAAGCTGTGGGCAGAAAGCTCTGCTGGCTGTCGAAGCAGGTCCCTGTCACACGCAGGTTCTGCCTCAGGCACCCTCACCTGCCTGAGACCTCAGCTCAGTGGCACCAGAGCTGCCCACATGTGCAGGGGGCTGAACACACGAGCAGAGACCTTCCCCTTCCCAGGCACAGCCCCTGCCCGGGGCTGCACAGCTGGCTGAGCTCCAGAGGTGACAAATCCCACTAAAGTTCGGAGTGAGCGAGGCTTTGCTCCTGCCCAGGAGGTCCCAGGACAGCTCTGCCCAGGGCTGGGTAAGCAGGGGGTGTCCAGGGCTCTGCAGAGTCTTCAGCAAGCCTAAAACACACTCTGAGGTGTGTGGGACTGCGATGCAGCTGTGGTGGGGTAAGATTTAAAGGACTGGTGGGGCCTCAGACTTGGGATTATTTTCTCCTGTAGAAGGAACAAAGCTGAGAAGACGTTCCAGGGAAGGATCCAGAGTCATTTGTGTCACCTCGTGATGCAGGCAGTACAGGAGGACTTCAAAATGGAAAAGGTGCTCTTCCCTTCCCCCATTTAATTAAAAGTGTTGTGGAAATAAAAGACATCAAGGCTGGAGTTAACTACCCCCTCTGGGCTCCTCCAAGTTCCTGGGTTTTTAGGTGATCAGCAAAGGGGCTGCCAAAGCCTTCCCTCGTGTCCACTGTTACAGGGGCCGTGTGTCCTAAAAAAACCCCTTGTTTGAAAATTGTGCCCCGCATCCATTGGGCCTTCCCCTAACAACAGGAGGGAGGTGCAGCTCCCACATCCCTGGGGCGGCTCCTGGGACAAGTCTGTGGCAGCACAGGAGCCCTCAGGTTTGAAACCACCTACGCTTCTTTTCCTTTAAAAAAAAAAAAAAAAAAAAAAAAAGAAAAACCCCAAAAAAAGCCAAAACAACCCCCCCAGACCAAACCCCAGTTCTTAGCTGGAACCAGGCCTGTGCTGCTCCTCCTCGGCCGCCTCCTGGGCTGAGGCCAAATCCACCCGCTGCTCGTCCATGCGCTTGGCCTGGACACGCTGGATGAGGCTGAAAAAGTCTTCATCCGGCATGGTGGGACCGCGGGGGATGGAATCAGGGGGGGCACAGCGCTGGTCATCGATCCGGGAGGACTGCACGGGGGGAGAGGGGCGTTAGGGTGGGGCAGCATGACAGGGGAGGGCTGGAGCAGAGGGGTCAGGGGTCCTGCTCCCCCCCAGCACGGGTACCTGGCACTTCATGAGCATGTTGAAGAACTCGTCCCCGGGCTCCTGGGCGTCCCCCTCGACGCGCAGGTGCCCCAGGTTGTTGTGGGTTATCCGCAGCCCCGGCAGGTTGCCCACGTTGGCACGCTGGTCATCCAGGCGCCTGCTCTGGGAGCTGGCGATGAGGTCGAAGAACTCCTCTGTCTGCGGAGATGCCATCAGGGCAGACTGTGCTGTGGGGACAGGGCAGGGTCACCCTCTCTGCCTGCAGAGCCCAAATCCTCCTCGCCAAACCACTGTCCAGCCCCCCTCCCACACAGGCACTGACCTGGCAGGCAGCACAAGGGGGAAGGAGGTGCCGTGACAGGGTGAAAAGCAGAACCTCACCCCCATCTCCCACTGCTGGACCCGCTGAGGGGCTCCCTGCCACTGACTGCGCTTGGTCAGGCTCCTGGAGGCCACCAGGAGATTCAGTGCCCCCCATCTTAACCACAGCCTGGGTGTGATCACTTTTTTTTCCAGCTTCCACTGCCACTTCCACTGTGGTTCCCAGCTGGAGCCAAGAGGCACCAGGCAGACCCCAACAGTCACAGATGACACAGAGCTCCTGAGTGCTGTGACAGGACTCAAGGAGAGGCTGCCAAGGTGAGTCCACAGCCCGGGGATAGGGCTGGCACAGGCTGGTGCCAGGAGGTCCCAGAACCGGTACACGTAATCCCCCCTCTATAGACCCTTCGGAAATGCCTCACTGCAAAGAGCCTGTTGGCTCCTGGCAGCTTCTGGGCAGGGAAAGGCTCCCAAACAACAGACACTGCACTCAGACAGGGACAAGCAAAAGGAAAACTGTAAGAACCCCAGCCTGACTGGTGTTCCTGCCCCACTGAGCACAAAGCACTGGGGCAGAGGCTGCCCCGAGCCTCCTGACACAGCGAGATCATCTTGGAGCCCCAGCTCATGGAGCTGCAAAAACAACAGGAAAAATCTCAGCCCTGACGCAAAGATGAGTTTCTTCCCCTTCAGCTCACAAAGAATCCTTGAAAATAACACGTCCAAAAAGGCTCAGAGCCCAAAGGAGCCGAACACAACATGTGCTGCTTGTGCATTCTTTATAAAGCTCCGTATTTTAAACCCAGTCTCCTAAATTACACAGCTGTTACAGCCAAATGCACTTCTGTGTCAGAAATGCATCTTTTGACAAAGTGATGCTTATTTCCACCCTATTTTTAGATGATAAAAACCCTCTCACCTCACAGCCAACCTGCCTTCCTGACCACCTCCGCACAGCTCTGCTCTCACTGCCACTTCAGCCCCTGCCCCTGCTCCTTGTGCCCGGCTCTGGTCGCACTCAGAGGAGTGCCAGGGGTCTCCTCCTCTCCCGTTTGCACTTTGTAGTCATTTGGAAACTGATAAACAAATCCCTCAGCTCAAATGGACTGGTTGGAGCCCTTTGTGCCGGTGATTAAGCCTGGAGTTCGACCTGTGCATTTTAGAGCTTCTCTCCAGCTTGGGTTAAACAAAGGCAAAAACACCAAAAAACCCGAGTGCAAACACAGCCCTGCCTTTCCTGTCCCGTCTGTTTGTCAGGCGCCTTCCTCAATTTATCCCTGCTCTTCCTGGGGGCGAGTGAGCTCTGTCTGCCTGCTGAAGCTTCCCACTGTTTATCCGTCCCTCTGGCTCCTCTGTCCTTATGCAGCACCTATCACCACAGCATCCAAGAACGGTACAAAATCCAGAAGTTCTTCCTCCATGGTAACACTATTACAAAAACTGGCAATATTTTAACTTGCCTGAGAAAGCCTGACCCTGACCCTGCACGCCACGGGTAATTACAAGGCTCCCTCAGCCATGACCATCATCATCTTCCTCATGGAAGCGACAGGATCTGCCGTGCCAACCTCGCCATTCCAAAGCCAACACCTAAAGATCCACACTGGAAAAATCCCGAGTGCATTTTGCATTCCTCTTCCTAGTTTAATCCCCAAGCCTTCGCTGGCATTCTCCAAGCCTTCCCCTCAGCAACCATTAACATAAGAATGTCTCTTCCTTCCTTAAATAATGAGGGAGATTGCCAAGGAACTGCTAAGTTCAGAGAGCTGAGGCTTAGGGAAAACATCACGGGAGCCACAGTAAACCACAACAGCTGGCCAGGCTGCGGGAGCAGCGGTGCTCCCACAGAAACAGGGCCTTAGGAACGCTCCGGTGCTCACATATCCGCTCTCCCAGGGCAGGCACCGGGGTGGCAGCTGCCTCCGCAGCCTCCGACGGGCACTCCTCCAGCGGGCAGCGCTGGTCATCCATCCGGTTGCTCTGGAACTTGCTCAGCAGGTCAAAGAAGCATTCCTCATCCGAAGGGGTCCGGTTGATTTTCTGGAAAGAGAGCAGAGAGAGTCAGAACACCCTGAACAGCTCCAATCGCTCCGTCTGGTGTGGATCGGGAATGGTCACGGCCTCTCCTGGTCCGTTCCGAGGCCAGGTCCTGGCTGTGCCTTTGGCTTGCCAAGTCCCCCCTCCAGGAGCCTTTTGGGGTCACTGCTCCTTGGTCCCTCTGATCCCAGAGGCTCCAGGCACTTGCACAGCCCAAAGCAGAGCCCACCAGCACGCAGACGAGCCTCACGCTGAGCAGTCGCTGTCACTGCAGTGCCTCGAGCTCCCGGAGCAAACTGGAAGCTGAAGGGGAAAGAGGGGACAAAAGGGGACAGCATTTCCCAGGCACTGCTCTGTGGGAGCTCCTGGGCTGGAAAGGGCTGGGCTCAGAGAAGGGTGAAGGGGAACTGTGCAGCCACCTTGGCTGAGATGCTGCTGAGTGCCCAGCCAGGGCTCAGCCCGAGCTCAGGGTTTGCTTTTCCACCAGCTCAATCCAACCCTTCCAGGGCACTGCCCCTCGCACCCCAGCACTTCCCTTCGGTGCCCCCATGTCCTCAGCACAGCACTTGTAACAGTGACCCAGCTGAAAATGCCACTAAATTACAGTTTTTCAGGACAGCAGCTCTTACACAAGAGCCCCAAATGAGCACCTTGCACTGGACAGGGATATATTTAAGTTGTGCTGCAGGAGGGTTTGTGTTGGAGGCCGCCAGTCCAACAGCCAGTTCCAGCACGGAATGAGGCTGCGTGCCCTGAGAGCAAGCCCAGAGCAGCAGGAACAAGAGACCTTTCCAAGGAGTCCCTTGGAATGGGAGATAAAATTAACCAGTGATAAGAGGGGCATCTGCCAGGCTTGGGGACGGTCCCTGAGTGCCAGGCTGATCCCACCAGTTGCTGGAAAAAACCCCACAACTGAAACCAACCAAAACCTCCTACAGCTGGGTCTGTCTGTGCTATTTTCCAGCACGGAGCCTGGGCAGGAGCCCTGGATCCCTCCTGGGGTGCATCACATCCCGCCAGAGAGATGGAGAGGGCACAGGGAGAGCCAGCCCCGAGTGCCAGACTTTCCAGCAGAGAAGGGATCCCCTTGGCTGCTGCTGAAGCAAAGTCCCTCTCCCAGCTCTGCTTGTGGCCGCTCTGGGAGCCTTCCCAATCCCACCTCATGCAGTGCCATTCCCAGCAGAGCTCTTCCCTGGGGCAGGGGCAGGTAAAGCCCTTCATGGGAGCTCTGCAACAGGGAGAGACTTGTGCTGACAGGGTTAAAGCCACAAGTTGGATTGAGTAAATGAAGGAAAACAATTTTCCTGTATGCCAAGTGAAGCAGATGAGATGCTCTCAGCTTCTATTTAGGGCAGAGTCAAAATTAGCAGCGGGCCAGAGAGGAACATTAGCAATGTGGGAGCTGATCGGGGAGGGGAAAAACCCCTCTCACCTCCCTCCACGTGCCGATCTGCTCATGGATCCATCCTCTGAACCATCAACAGTTGCACCCTGGAAATCAAAGCTTGAACCGAGGGTGAACTGCATCTCTCACAGCTCTGCTGCGCTGGGTTGTGTGACCCAAATTTCAGGCTAGAGGAGGAAGTGGCTCATTCACACCGAGCCTCCCTCCAGCTTCCCCACAACCACACGGAGTAAATCAGAGCAGTTCTGGATCCACAGGACAAGTTCCCCCTTGCAGGAGCAGCCTGACAGTGTGGCCAGAACCCCCAGCTCAGGGGGCTCTGTCTCCCCTGGCAGGGACCAGATTCCCCTGGGGCACGTCCTGCCAGAGACCCTGCGACTTGGGGTGTAGGGATCCCTGCTCACAGCGTGTCTGGGAGAGGAGAGGATGCTCTGAATCAGTGGGAAGAACAGGCAGTGCATGGAAGTGTGGGATGGGGCTGGCTGTGTGCCCGGGTACCTCCCGGTAGGGTGGCACGCCAGGGGCAGGAGGTCGGTGCCCGTGGGCCACGACTGGGGCTCACACGTGCTGTGCCAGCCGGGACGGGGGGAGCCTCAGGGCAGCTCCTGAGGACAGCAGGATCCCTGTCCCAGCCCCAGGCCTGCACCTCTCTAATTAAAATGCCCAAATGTGACAAGGCACGGAGTGCTTGGCTCCCTCCCTCCCTCCCAGGCTGCTCCGAGCCCCGAGGCAGGAGCTGCGAGGGCAGATGGAGGTGCGATCACACCCCAGGGCTCACCATCTGTGCTCGCCCGGGGCTTGGCACATCCAGGGCATCCCCACACGGGGCTGAGCAACAGCCATAGGACAGACACACACAGCAGGCACCACGGGCCCAGGTCCCTAAATGCTTCCTGGGCACCACCTTCGGTTCCCAGCCCCAAGACTCACCCCATGGCTGGTGTCCCTGCCTGGCCTCATCCCCCATCCTCTGCTTCCAGCACTTCAACTGCCCAAATTCTGCCACCTGTCACCTTCCTGTGGTCAGCCAGATGCTGTCACAAAATTAAAACCAACCCTGTCTGCACGGGGCAGAGGGACCTGGGGCTTTTGGTGGCCCCCAGAGCCCAGGGGCTGGGAGAGCTGGCACAGCAGAGCTCACCCCGGGGCAGATCTGGCTGCAAACACACCCTTGGCACACACACACCTCTCCCCATGGGGGGACAAGAACAAGAGTGGAGCCTCTGCTCCCTGACCTTGGGAAGACAGGGATGGCTCCATCCCAGGCAGGTGGAGGTCCCATTCACAGGGCTTAGAGCTTTGTTCCCATTTTCTGAGAGTGGTATTCCCACCTGGACACCGTCAGCTCATCACAGAGCTGAGCAACCTGGCTCGGGACAGCCTGGGAGCAGGACTCTCCCTCCTGACACACTCTCTTTCCTGGAGAGCATCCAGGATTTTGCATACATTCCCTTGCTGGTGGATGAACAGGCTGTTTAACCTGCCTGGGTGGATTCAGGATGTGCAAACCACAGCTGAGGTGTTGGAGAGGCAGCGAGGAGCAGATCCTGCTGCCACTCCCCCCTCTCCCTGCAGGACGGGACCATCGGCTCACCGGGAGGGCTTGGGAGTCCCTGCAGGTCACTGCCCTGTGGAAGAGCACAAACCCACCCTATTTCCTCTCTGATAAACTCTCATTCACACCAAATAATGTCCTGGGCTGCCCAGCTCTGCCCGAGACGTGCAGGACACGCAGAAGAATCTCCTGGGGAGATGCCTCGGTCCGGACATTCCGGATGTGCAGGTGGAGCAAAGGCTGAAGCGATCCCAGGAAAAGCAAAAAACCAACTCCTGTGCCTAAACCCCCTCAGCCATTTTCACTTGGGAGTCAGGAAAGCCACTAAACAAAGGCAGAAGACCTAACTGCAGGAACCAAACTGCTTCCCAGCTCCCAACACCTGAAGTCACAGCCCACAGATGCCCCACAGGGCTTCCACCCTTGGAGCCGCTGCCCACCCGTGAGAGCCTTTCTCTGACACATTCCCACTCCCAAGCCCCATCCCAGGATCAGCACCGTGTCCACAGTCTCTCTTTGGCCCCTGAGCAGCCCATATTTCCCCCACCAGGCACCAACACCTGCTGTCACAGGTACCCTCAACCCAACGCTCTGGAGGTGGCGGCTTCTCCCACAGCTTCCTGCTGCCCCCACAGCAGCTCGGGATGCAGCTCTTCCCACACTCACTGCTCAGCCCCACCAAAACCTGTCTGAATCGCTCTCAGGGTGCTCTGGGACAGGGCTCCAGAGACCCCCAAACACCACCAGATCTTTCTGTGCTGGCCAAGAAATGGCACATCCACCAGTGATTCCATGGGGGAAACATCCCCTTCAAAAGGAGCTTCTCCCACCAGACCAAACTGACGACGCTCTCCTGAGCCATCCAAAGGGCCACACGTTGTCCCTCTGTCAGATCAGCTTCTCCTCCCACAGCTGGTGTCCCCAGGGCACTGACCTGCCCTTGGTTCCCCTCCTGTCCTCCAGGCTCAGCTTCTTGCAGATCTGCCCCGAGGCAGGAAGGAGCCCTCAGGCTCAAGGGTTGCTTTACCCAGCCCTCCGAGGGGACCTGCAGGCAGGACCTGCTGCCCAGCAGTTCCCAGTGGATCTGGCACAGTGGATCCACCTCAGGACCTGCTGTTTGAAGGCATCTTGTTGGTGGCCAGGTCAGGGAAAAGTGCCTGGTCCCCAGGGCCAAGCTCTCCCCGGTGGACAATCCTTGGAAAAGCGTGCCCCTTGTTCTGGCAGCGTTATGTGCCCAGGGCCTGGCAGATATTCATTCCCAGATAAATCTGTGCCATGCCTTATCTGCCTCTCCCTCTGTGAACCAGACACACCACCACTCCTCACCTCTGCTCTTTTCAAGGCAGCCAACCTCAACCCCCCCCGGCAGGAGCGGGGCTGCCGGTGCTGGTGACCCCCAGTGCCAGGAGCAGCTTCTCCAGGGCTGCCCCGCTGCCCGTCAGTCCCCTGCACGTGGCTTTTCTTTATCCTGCCCCACCCCAACACCTCACCCTGGAGAACCCACCGTGGGGGCTGCACAACCCCAAACCAACCATCAGGCTCTGAACCTCACCTGGTGAAAGGCAGCGAGGGGGAGGTTTGCGGAGAGCTCCCGAACGGCAAGTGGGGGCTGGAGGAGAGGAGTGGAAGGAAATCCCTGCCTGAAAGCCACAGCCTGCTTCCCCAGGAGCACCACATCATCTCAGGGGCTCTCCCAGTGCCTGGCCACCAGCACCTTGGCTGGAATCTCCACTCCTTGACGAGCCCATCACCTCCAGAGTCAGCAGAGCTGGAAAACTCGCCCGGTCTTTGCTGAGGACGCCACTTCCCTTTCCACACCAACGCTGCTGCCACGCTCCCCCCGAGGGCAGGGCTGGTGGCAGACACTCCGTGGGTCCCCTCCCCGGGCTCAGGGATCCACCACCCACCCTCGGCACCCTCCACTGTGAGACACAGCACAGCCCCAGAGCCTGAGCACCGCCTGCAGCCCACGAAGCTGCCAAAATACCAGGAATGAAGTTGCAAAATTATTAATAATAAAAAGTTCACGCTGAAGCTCCCTGA